CTAGGGTTTTACTCCGTCCAACTGTTGGGGAGGAAGAGAGAAGATGCAGCCGCTCCTACCAGAGCTTCCCAATCTCTTCAAAACCTGAACCGCCCTCCTTTAGGAGTCAAAAGACACCTCCCAAGCACAGAGCACCACACCCAAAGCTTGACCTTTACCTGTACCTTCGAAAATCTCTAGTCGGCTAGGGTTTTGGGCAGCAACAGAAYARCACCACTTCTTGGCAATATCCAGCCAGATTTAAACTCTCCAAACCCTCTACCAACTAGGCCAGAGATCCTCTAAACTATAGAGAACCTATCTCTCCATACACTCTCTAAATCTAAGGGTGTATGGGAAAAGATGAAGAAGAAAACAAAGGAAGAAAGAGACCTGCTCTGATACCAAGATGTAAATCAGTCCTCAAAAATTTGGTGTAAATTTGAAAAATAGAGAGAAAAAGGAAGAAGAAAAGTAAGAGCAGCAGTACAAGAGAAGAAGATGGCGAAAAGAGGAAGAAGAAGAAAGGTTCGAATAATCTTCCCTTTCTTCTCTAATCCCTTTTATTAAAAATTAATTGTTAAAGTAATTACAAGTATGCCCTTAAGTGGGCGGCCAGCTAGGCAGTAACATAAAGAGATCAAACAAAAAGAAATAACAGACCCATTAGCTAACAAGAAAAAGAAAAGATATTACAAGAGAAGATACTAGGACCCATTCGGCCCAATCTCTTTACATCCTTATCACTTAAAGAGTCCATATCCAAATAAAGATTTGGATCAGGAAACTCCTAATCAAATTAGGAGGTTGTCTCTTTAAGGCTATAAATAAGAGAGCAGGGTGGACATGCAAAAAAAACCAGACAAGATACAGCAATCTACAGAGTTCTTCCTTGTTCTTGCAGCCCCTACCCAGTTCGATCTCCAATTGTGGGAGTGATCAAGAATTGTTCTTGATATTGCTTCTTGGTAGAAAAAGCAATCTGAAATCGTGCTCACCAACCCTCTACCCCATTTTTGCTGAAGAATCCGGTTCTTGCTGAAGAGTCGTCCTACTAATTCTGCTTAATCTCACATTGTGTCATCTTCAGTGGAAGTAGTTTTTTGTTTTCTCCTTGGGCATGAACGCCTTCATTGGGAGTTACTGTTACTCCGTATCAGGTATATCCCTCTCCTCCCTTTTCGTTTCAGATCTGGTCCGGTTTGGTTCGAGATTGATCCTTGAAAATGCAGTTTTCTAAAATAGGGAATGTGATTCCTAAATGGGAGAGAGAAACTTTTGAAATTTTGCCCAACCTTCCTATAGGGTTCGGCCATCCATACGATGGATCTCCATCCCTTCATACTTATACCCATTTTTCTCAGAAAACAAGTTAAAAGACAAAAATACCCCCATCCCAAAACAACAGTTCTCAACCAATTTCACTCCATGGATTCTAAAGGGGCATTTCTACATAAAATTTTCCTTTTTCTCCATACTTATTTGACATAAATGAACAACTAAAATACATGGCAAATGCCATTTATTCCTACACAATTTCACTGAGTAACAAGATAAAGTTCTAGACATTTTTCTATAGGAATACAATGTCAAAACTCAAAATATATAAACTTACACTAATATCATATAATTTTCTATACACATGTTCCCAAATCCATACTTTTTCATGTTGTCGAGTTAAGACTCCCAGGCATGCATCATATCCCAATTCCTATGTCCACCCTATTCAACAGTGTATGATTCAGTGCCATGAACACACCATCATTGAAAATGGTCTATGGTTAGCTTAAAGAATGGAAKGTAAAMAWTCAMRCACAAYATGCTGATTAGAAAAGTTTGTACCAAATACAGAAGTGAAAAGGAAAGCAGATCCAAAACCAAGGGCRTAACCAAGATCCTTTGTCGCAGGCACTTGAATCAAATAATAAGCCTGTGTGTGAAACAGCAAACCTCCAATAAATACGAAATTTCTAGCACAAGGTTAACAAAAGGAAAAATCCAGCAATAACAACAGGTATATAACCAGCAACTGCAAGCTAGTTTTCATTCCAAAAACAATCTTTTTGATAGGCTTAGATGCAAATAATGAAATTTCATCCAAAAATGGGAGCTTATTGATCTTCCCCTCTCTGTTGCCAAGTATACTTTGACCAGTAATCAAGAGAAGCCTACTCTAGTTCGACTGGACAGGTTCTTAATTTCAAATGAGTGGGAGGAGCTCTTCCCAAAGACCTCACAGGAAGCTCTTCCTAGTGTCATTTCTGACCATATGCCCCTTTTGTTGGATACAGAGGGAGTTCACAGAAACCCTAGTCCCTTTCGTTTGGAACACTGTTGGTTGGAAGAGAAGGAGCTGATCCAAAATATCACTTCTTGGTGGGATGAGGTACACTTCAAAGGCTCGGTAAGTTTTGTATCATTTAAGAAATTGCTGTGGCTGAAAACCAAGATCAAAGCCTGGCAAAAGGATAAAGAAAAACTGGCTGAAAGGCGAAAAGCATAATGTTGGAAATAATAGATGACTTGGATAAGAAAGAGGAAGAGAGGGAGTTAAGTGGTGCACAGAGAAAGAAAAGGTTGGAAGCTAAGAATGATTTTGATTCTCTAGCTTACCGAGAAGAAGTTACATGGCAGCAAAGGGCAAGAATTAAATGGTTGAAGGCAGGGGATAATAACACAACTTTTTTTCATAAAGTAGCTAATGCAAGAAGTAGATCCAATTCAATTAAGAAGTTGGAAGTGAATGGGTGCCTTGTGGAGGAGGAAAGGGAAATGGAAAATGTTATTGTTAACTTCTACAAGAAGCTTTATGAGGAGACATGTAGAAAGAGACCTGTGCTAGATGGTTTGTCTTTCAACTCTTTGTCAAGGGAACAAGTAGCTGAGTTAGAGAAACCTTTCACAGAGGATGAGGTCAGGTGGTTTTGGATGAGTTGGAAGAAAAGAAGTCTCCTGGGCCAGATGGACTCACTATTCTGTTCTTCAAAAAATTTTGGGGGTTGCTTAAATGGGATGTGAGGAGGTTTCTGGATTGTTCCATGAGAAGGCTTCCTTTGTTAGAAATTCGAATGCTACGTTTATCTCATTGATTCCAAAGAAGGGAGGGGCAACAGAAGTCAAAGACATCAAACCAATCAGTTTGATTGGTAGTGTTTATAAAATACTTGCCAAACTGCTATCTCTAAGGTTAAGGAAGTGATGAGCTCTCTAATATCTAAGTACCAGGGTGATTTTGTTCATAATAAACATATCCAAGACAATGTACTGATTGCAAATGAGCTTATTGACTAAGGCAAAGAAGTGGGGACCAGGGGGTAGTTTTAAAGGTTGACTTGGAGAAGGTGTATGACCACGCAAATTGGGCTTTCTTGGACACCATGATGAATAAAATGAACTTTTGGACAAAGATGGAGGAATTGGATAAAAGTGTGCATGACAACTCCCACTTTCTCTGTTTTAATCAATGGTTCTGCAAGAGGAAATTTTAAAAGTTCAAGAGGATTAAGACAAGGGGATCCTCTATCTCCCCTTTTGTTCCTTTTAGTTTTGGAAGGGCTGAGTCAAATGACTAAGAAATCCATTGAAGGAGGTCTACTGGAAGGGTTTGAAATCAAAAGTAATGGTTCAAAGATTGCTTTGCAGCAGTTTGTTGATGACACTTTGTTTTTCTTCGATGCAAAGTTAGATCAAGCTTTCAACTTGAGATATCTCCTTAGCTGGTTTGAGGTTGTTTCAAGTTTGAAGGTTAACTTGGCAAAGAGTGAGATGGTAGCGGTAGGTGAAGTGGGTATCATTTCAAATCTAGCTGAGGTGTTTGGGTGCCATGTGAGGAATTTCCCAACCAAATATTTGGGTTTACCCCTTGGTGCATTTGGGATTCAGTGGTGGAGAAAGTCAACAAAAAAGTTTGCAACCTGGAAAGCCCGCTATCTTTCAAAGGGGGGGGGGGGCAAATTAACTTTAATTCGAGGTGTTGTGTCATGCCTTCCAGCTTATTTTCTATCTATCTTCCCAATTCCATCAGAGGTGGCAGATAAGCTAGAAAAAGGCTGAGGGATTTTCTATGGAGAGGCTGGAAGGATAAAGAGAAATTTCACCTGGTGAGCTGGGATCTAATATGCAGGCAGATTGCAAATGGTGGGCTTGGAATAAGGAAAGTTAAAAGTTTCAACTATGCTCTTCTAGGTAGATGGTTCTGGAGATTTGGCTCAAATCCTAATGAGTTGTGGAGGGACTTGATAGCAGAGAAATATGGCTTAATGATAATGGTTGAGATGCAAGGCTTCCAATATGTCCTTTGGCTGTGGAGTGTGGAGGGGAATTTGTAAAGCCTTTCCTGCCTTCTTAAGAGGGATAAAGCTCCTCTTGGGCAATGGAGCTAGAATAAGATTCTGGTTGGACCCATGGTGCGATGTGTTGGCTTTGAAGGATAAGTTCCCCAAGCTATTTATTTTGGCTGGTAACAAAGAGGTAACAGTGGCTGAATGCTTTCAAGCTGATGGACCTTCGGGTGCTTGGAATCTTGCTTTCAGAAGAAATTTTTTTGGCTGGGAGGTGCAATCTGTTGCAAACCTGATGTCTCTTCTGAACAATCAGCAAGTTAAGGTGAATGGTTAAGATTTAAGGCAGTGGAGATGGTCCAAGTCAGGGGAGTTCTCAGTCAGCTCTTTTTATGCTAGTTTGGTGGGTGAGCAGGATAGTTCATTTCCTTGTAGAGAAATTTGGGGAAATGCTTAACCAAGGATTTGCTGGTCAGAAAAGGAGCTAATCTAGCAACCATATGGAAACTGTGAATCATATCTTCCTTCACTGTAGCTTTTCTTCTAAGTCTGGAATCATTTCAGAAATTCTGTTCCAGCTGCTGGATGTTTCCCAAGCTCTGTGAAGGTCCTGTTAGCTGGGTGGAGGATTCAAGGAATGTCCAAGAGAGGGAAAGCTTGTTGGGAGGTGGTTCCTCTAGCTGTGCTGTGGGCAATATGGTCTGAAAGGAATAGTAGAATTTTTTAGCAGAAATCGAGTCCAGAGGAGGTAGTTATCAATTTGGTAGTGAGCATGTGGAGAGCTTGGGTGTCAACTCTTACATGTTTGTTTCAGTCCTGATGAACTCTTGTCCACTTTCTTGAATGTAAATTTTTTGGGGGGTTCTTATGGGAGTTTTTGTATAAAATACAAATGTACAGAGGATCATACTTGTATAATTTTTTCTCAGTTAACTCTCAAAAACAAAATGAAATTTCACATCAAAGCAATCAATAATCTCTACATGTTGGACAACCAAGATTTTTATTCTGAACTGTAAATAGCATATAAATAGAGAAAACAGAATATATAGTGGAAGAAGATAGAAACAACACAGAAAAAAGAATTGAGAAAACATGGGATAAAAAACAAACTCTCCTAGTTGTCCCCATCAATTGTATTTGAAAGAATGATAGGATCCATCCAATGGACGCCATAAACGTTGCGGAATGGGTGGG